ATTTAAATTACAAAAGGAAATCTTTTTCTTACATTTGGCGTTGTTGAAATTTTGGAGATAGAAACAGTGAGTATATTCCTGGCCAGGAGATGACTGGGGCCCTGAAATCACGTCTATTTGTCAGTAGCGGCTCCAAGCAACTCAAATCTGCTGGGTCGTCGGTGACCAGTCAGCCAGTACAGTGGACGCAGCTAATACCAGCTTGGGTCGTTGTTTCCCGTTCAAAAGAGATCCTAAAGGCAATCGCTCTTGTTGCTCCACACCTCCCCACTCCTCCCCAGTGAGCCTCCTTCAAGGGGCGCGTGTCTATCCTTGTTAAAACTTTCCCCCACTCCTGCCAGGGTTAAAAGACAATATAACAAAAACATATTCCCGACAGCAATTTCCGCTATCGCTCGAAACATCTCCGACCAGATGTTCGCGAGAGCTGCATTAAGATATATCGTGACGCAAATATTTTTTCACAATTTCTTTCCCCTTTGAATTCCCTCGCTCCGCAACACTCAAGTTACTTGAACTTGCTTTGCCTAGCATTAGCAGGACTGTCAGGTGATGGATGTGAGCGGAATCTTCTTTCACTAAGAACAAAAATGTGTTAAAGCTTTTTTTGCCTAAATGAGGATACAGGTATTAAGACTAACTTTTTAAACTTTTCCAGGATAGAGACAGAGGTCAAGCATCAACAGCAGCAGCAGCAGCGGCAACAACGGCAGGAGCGGGAGCAGTAGCAGCAAAAATGAAATTTAGTAAGCGACAGGTACGGCCCAGTGAATCAGCCAGCATAGCAGCACCTCCGGAAGCAAAAATTTTCAGGAGGGCACTAGGCAAGCCAGCCAGTATGCCGATACAGCCGTCGGCTATTTTTGTTGATAAGGTAGGCCAAATTTTAACAAAATTGGAGAAATGTGTTAAAAGAGCAGCATTCGTGTGAATGTTTGGAGTATTGTGGATGAGGAAAGCAACAAGTTCGTAGTCAGTTAAGCTCTCTACTACTTCATAAACGGAAATTCTAACTGTAAATTAGCAGCTTATGAAATTCCGGGAGATTTTCTTACTGGTCTGTAAAAATGCTTACTTCCTGAGCTGTTCTGAGGAATATCTGGGAGGGCCGAAATTTTAAAAAGTTGTCCCCCGTAGAAATTAAAGTTTTCAAATTCAGCCCCCAGGTCTGCATTGTTCTTAGGAATTAGTCTGGTTCTCCGGATGCGCCTCGAGCAATTTTTCCAGCTGTGTTAATCGATACTTCATCGCGTGTTGATCAACCTTTTGGTGACCCTGTCGGTCGTTTCATCTCCCGAGGGGATTCTCAGCTTACCAGTTTACTCAACAGGGGAAGAAGCACACATTTTTTTTGCATATTTCAGAAGCGTCGCGAGAGATCAGCAAGTAAAGAAGCACGAACAAAAGAGCTCGCAGCGCTGGCATCACAAGCAGCAACTCTCAACATTGCTAGCTCATCAGATTCCATGAAAAAATGGACGGCGCTGGATGATGTTGCGCTCATAACAGCCGTAGCATGGGTAAACGTATTGCCTGTTTTCACCTGCCCCCATCAGTTTCTCTGAAGTTCTCTTAAAGATTGATTTTATTTTCCGCGAGTTTCCCAAAAATGCGAAAAAGTTTTTTTAGGAATTTTCAAGAAATTGATTTCTCTACAATTTATTGTTAAAAATGCGTATTGGAGGCGACTGAGCACGGAAAAAGGC